TCAACTTTGTCCATCGTTGGGTTGGAAAACGTGTTAATAAACACTTAGATTATGAAATATGATCGAACAATTTTCGCATTATGATATCAGGCTGATGTTATGTTCTCCGAGTCTCTTCTGTTTTCCAAACAAAAAAGGAAAACTATTAGTTAGAATTTCCGCCTGAGTGACCGAAGGCGAGCAATCTCGGCTACCAAAACTCAACAGTCGTGGGTCCGAATCTCAAGTGCGGTAGAGTTTTTACTAAAAGCCGATAGCCTTAGATGCTAGTGCTTTAACAGTTTAGTGTTAGAATTTATTAAGTAAATAGAATTTCCATTGAATTGCATTGATGGTTCTCCCTATCAGATAAACATTAAGGAGAATTGAATTAATGGCACTCGATAGCGTAAAATATCGTATCTTAACTCGAAAGCAAAATAGCTGTCGAGTTTAAAAAAAGTACTAAAAGCCAATAAATAGCGTGGATCGTAAACCGACTTCGACGCACTCACCCAACCTCATATTTGCTCAAAATTTGACTCAGTGAAATCGCTCCAAAGTATTTTGATTTAGAAACGCTTTAACATAAGGACAAATGTAAGGACAAATAAGAAAATTATATTAGGTCGTTATCGAATCTTTTCTGCCTATCACTGATATCATAAAAAAGACAAGAAAAATTAAACAAACTAAATTTTCAATCTCATTATAATATAGAGTGGGCGCGCCTATTTTTTTTTAATTTCAAAATAAAAGCTCTTAGGATAGTATAGGCATATCGATGTTGTAGGCGTTTCCTTGGAAATGTTTAATTGACTTCGAAATCCTTTTGCAAATTTGTAAGCCATATCTTCATTTTCGCTAATGGGAGAATGTTTACCACAATTGCTGCACAGTTGCCCTAGCAGACGCAGACAGGCGTACAGTTTAGATGCATTCAAAATTTGAAACTGGCCGAGAATTCATATACGTTGTAGGGTTTCTGAAGATTGTTTCTGAGCCTTATACGGTTGTTGAAAAAGATATTAAATTTTGATACACTATAATATTGAATAGGCACGATCGAATTTTTCCATTTTAGCGCAGGTGCTACATCATCGCCCTATATGCTATAGTTTATCAGTAAAGAGCAAAAAACCAAATTTTTATTCCTTTTGAAAGAAAGACGTGTTCTCAGTCAAGTTGGTGCTCTGGGCGCGATTTGGCTCATTTTTCAATACCAACCGACGTAGAAGAACTCCCAATGTTTTTGCCAAACTTGCAACCGATAGTCATTTTTGCGACGAGAAGAATGTAGACATTACATGGACGAACGGAGGGATACGATTAAATCAATTCTGGGCTTTTTGAACTTTTTGACAACCACTTCCTGCAAGAATGGGTACAAAAATTAAAACATTTTTTTTGAAATATCAACCTTGCAACTATATGTTGTTTTAATGGAAACAAAAAAAAGTTTTATGAGCATTGGAACATTTCGCTTACTTTTCCAAATGAAAACTATTGCCTCCTCACTTTCATGCCGAAACTCAGTTTCATCTACTTTCAGTCGAAGATTATTTAGATCCTTTAGAAACTTCCTATTCTTACATATAGTTCCGCAAATGCGGATTAACTTCTTCAGAAACAGAAACGGCATGATCTGAATTCACGATAACAGTAATCGGGGACAAATTTGTTAAAGGACGTGATTTCATATCAGCAATTGGGAATGCATTAATATGCGCTCTTCGAATGCATTTAGAAATGAAAACAAAGAAGTAAAAAAAATGTGTTCCATAGCTAGCCAACTTTATTATTAATTTTGTTTTTGTTTTTTTTGTTTGTTCGATCATTATTTTGTTTTAGAAACAAAACTTTTTCTTTTACATAAAAAGCTCGAATTTTTTTTTCTTTCTTATTTTTTTTTTTTTTTTTTTTTTTTTTTATTCTTTTCTTTAACTATGTAGTCGTAAAAAAGAAGATGATGGTGTAGCATATAATCATTTAACCAGAATAAATTAATTTTTAGATCTATTATATTAAAACTATCACTTACTATCGCGTCATATAATGCATCATAATTTATTTTTTTATTTTTATTTTTTTTTTTTTAATTTGAAAATTTAAAAATATATGTGTGTTATCATCATTACATTTTATAAGGTTTTCTTTAAGAAATATGTTCATCATACCGACTTATAGCTTATAGAATTTTTTTTATTGTTGTAAAAGAAAATCAAAAAAAAAAAAAATATATATATATATATATATATAATTTTCAAAATCAGTGAAATAGAAACAAATATCACGGCTTGGGAAAAACTAAATTTTTTTAATCACAAAAAAAAATATATATATATGTATAAAATAGAAAAATATCACGGCTTAGGGAAAATTGAATTTTTTGAATACCAAACAAAAAAGAAGACAATTATAATAGTATAGATATGCTTGGGAATTAGAATTCAAAATGTTTGAAAGCGATATGAGTATGATCATGAAAAATTATCTTATGTCCTTTTCTTCACTCTGTGAGATCTAATGTTACTTTGAAGCAATTAAAACGATTTTCTTTCGTCTACTTAAGAAGCATAGATTGCTGGGCCTTGCTAGAGCTTTGTTTATCAAACAAATTACTATGCAAATATTTAAGAGAAGAATTTCACCTAAAATCTTCACGAAGCTTCACAGTGTATAGAAAGTTGCATTGTATTAAAACTATTAGAATTTTATTCAAAACTAAAAAAGACAAATAAACAAAAAAAAGTTTAGCTTACAAAATTAAAAACAAAAAAAATTGTAAAAAAAGATTTAATTTGGTGAGAGAAGACAAAATCAACAACAAAATTTTTTTGCGAAATTAAAAAAAAAAAATGTGATTTTTTGAAAGAAAAAAATCAAACATAAATTATTTTATGAAATTTAAAAAAAAAAAATGAAACTTTTGGAAAAAAAAAAACCAAAAACATATTATTTTATAATATTTAAAAAAAAAGAAAGAAGATTACCTTTTTGTAAGAAGAGCAATCAAAAATAGATTTTATGAAATATAATAAAATAAAAAAAAAACTTTTATAAAAAAGAAATTATAATTTTTTTTTCGAAAATTTATATGTATTAATAATCGTGCTTGTTCGTTTTGTTTGAGAATTTATTTTTTAACTTGGCATGTGAATTGCCAAAAAAGAAAGAAAAACTACTCATTCTGATAAAAAAATCTCTTTAGTCTTACATGCACATTTGGTAGCAACGAAAGCGCCAGAGCCCGAATAATAAAAGCTCCGTTTGCCAAGAGTTAAAAAGAAAAATTTTTGCACTTCTTCTCAAAATATGTGAATCTAGGAGTAGTCTACCTCTTTTTCTACTCTATACCGCTTGTAGGTAAACGGATACGTTACGTGTGTGCAAACGTATTCAACATCCAGAAGGATTTAAAAAGGTCCTATCTTATATTATATCAATATCAGAAACAATCTAAGCTTGTCTGTCCGCTTGTCCATCTTGTCACCAGACTATAATTTTTAAAATATTCCGATGCACTTTGGTACACTGACTTGCTTTAGCCCAAGGACGGGCGCTATTGAGCTGTATGAATAAACATAGGGTGACGTAGGGTATTTAATAGCAGACTGTGGCCCACTACAGCGTATTTATTTGTTTTATATTATTTCTTGTAAAGAAAAATAAAAATCATTTCAATCAGTTACGTTATCAATTGGATTGTATTTGAAAGTTAGATAAAGTCTTAGATTATTTCGGGGATCATTTTTTTATTTAAGTATAGAACGGGTTTTTTTTTTTTTTTTTTTTTTTTTTTGAATAGAAAAAAAGTATATTTTTGACTATTTATTTATTTTTTTTTTTAATTTCTAATTATTTGAATTTCTTTACTGTTATTTCTTAAACAACTGAGACAAAAAAAAAAAAAAAGAAGACCGAAAATATAATAAGATCAACAAAAAAAAAAGGTGGAAATACACAGTAAATACGATTTTGTTTTTTTTTTTTCATTTGAATTTTTAAATGTATTAATTTTTTTAACTTTTTTGTTTTTATAAATTTTTTGTTTCTTTTTATATAATTTAATTTTTTTTTCTTTTTAGGGTTTTGTTTTACTTTTTACTTAATTGTAATTAAAATTTGTTTTTTTTTTTTTTTCTTATTTTTGATGTGTTGAGCGAACCCAAAGAAATGTGTTTTGGTTATTGGATGATGATATAACTCTTCTCCTCAGCCTCAGACACATAACGTAACGCTCAGCCCATGTAAATTATAGCGCAATTTGATAAAAGAAAATTTACATGTCTTTGTTGTCAAACTACGCTGAGCTGTTGTAATTATGTTTAATTGTTATCAATTATAAACAATTTCAAAAGTCCGGAACGACATCAATCCTGGCAATGATGGTCCGCAATTAGTTTCTATTCTTTTTCTATAATTTTTTCTTTCTTAAGAAATGCCAAGTTGTCCCCCCTCGCTTCTCCCTCTCGTTTACAAATTTTTCGAAAAACTCGACATTTTTTCCATTAAATAAGAATGGGAACGAAATAGAGCGAGCGAGAGAGAGGGAGAGAGAGAGAGAAAACTGTTCGGTCCTTACATTAACTCCAAACTTTTTATATATGTTGCACATATTGTTTGCCGCTCTTTCCCACTTTTCTTACATTCCTTGTTGCGTGGTTGGGGAGGGGGGAGGGGGGCTCGATAAAAAAAAATACCAAAACATTTAAAGTAAATTATGATGCATTCTCTTTCTCGCTACCTCTTTTTTTCTCTCTGAGCATTATAGATATATACATATATATATATATATATATATATGTTCACATACATTTCTCTTGATTTTGATTTTCTCCTTTTCTATAATACGAGTGGATACCATTTGGACTAAATCTGCTGCAGGATATGTTTTCGAAAATTTCTTATTAATTCATCGCCCCTGTCGTATAATGGATTTATTTTTAAATGCATTTACTATTAATTGTGTTTTTCTTATTCCGACCATTCGCTTTTCTTTGTTTTTGTTTTCTTTTTTGTTTTTTTTTTTTCTCTTTTTCGTTCTACAATTCATTCCATACGAAGATATTAACAGGAAACACACACATATTAAGAATGAGTCCGTGTTAAGATTTCCTACAGACAAAACTCGTACTAACACTATTCGAATATTGGAATTATAGGTGAAGTTGGCCAGTCTTCCTCCTCCTCGGAACTAATACTTTCGGTTCTGCAAAAAATAAATCAGAGAAAAAAGAAAATCATTTTTAAACGAAATATATATTAGTTTCAAAATCAGCACTTTTCAGCTTTTTCATACTCTAAACCATTTGAGGCACAGAGAGAGTAGACTCTCTCAGTACACTCTGAGTACATATTAATTTTATACAAACGCATGTAACACCAAGAAAGGATTAAAAGAGATCTGCCCATTCTATTATATCGATGGGTTCAGCATCACTTGCTGAATTCATTTAAAATTGTCTGTCCGTCGGATCTCTGTCGATATGTTCTTGTGTCCAAAGTTATGGATGGCAAATTTTCGAATATTTTGACGAAGTTTGGTGCACTGGCCTGTTTTGACTCTTTGGCAAACCCTACTGGAAACAAATTACTTCGACATTTTGCCAATCACTCCTCGTGTAATGGCTTCTTTAGCAGAAATTATTATACGAGAAAAATGTATAATTTTTCTTAAGCGATCTTGACATACTCAAAATATATGTGCAGATGAATCACTTGTTTGAACTTATATTCCATAGAATGGTTTCTACAACGAATAAGCCTTTAAAAGGCAAAGGTGTATATTAAAAAGAGTTATCGTATTTACCCAGAAAAGTAAGTCCTAAGGGTCAACTCTTAAAGCACCAGCATTTAAGGCTGTCGACTTTCCTGAAAACTCTAACGCACGCGAGATTTGAACCCTCTTCTATAAAACCGTTTTTCCGAAAAGTAAGCTTTCTAAGGACCTGGGTCTTAATATGTCAAGATCCGTGACAGCAGTTTAATATAAAAATTAGTTGTACAAAATTTGGACCTAGTACGTCGATTTTTTGGAACCCAGACCGTATAAGGATTATAATTACAGGGCAAAAAAGACCAATTTTCCATATTACAAAGTAAAAATTAGTTTGTGATAGCAACTTGGCATCAAAATTAACTGCACAAATTGTTTGGTTGGTTAATTTTTTGCACGCTACCCCCCACATGCAAGGGTTTTGACGAAAGGTAAGCCCTAATTATTAGTACTTTACGACAAAAATATGTAAAGCATGATAAGATTGTATGTCAACGAAATTTAATTATCTAAATTTCTATCATGTTGTAGACTTGGTCTCATAAAATATATGCCTTTAGAGACGAACAAGATCTAATTTTTAATACATTACCACAGAATTAAGAATTGTGTTGGACGATATGCTGGTAGGGTGTTTCGTAGCCCTACTCGTCTAAAGAATAATGTTTTTACCGGTTTGTTTATAGTGAAGGTCTGTTCAAAGAAGAGAATCGTTTTTAGTCCCACGGCTCTAGTTTGGGAGTGAGACCAGTGTAGTTAATGCTTTTGAATTTTTTTTTTTTGAAGTTTTTTTAAGTCGAAAGTCAGTAAAAGACTTTGAGAAGCTATGTTACGGTATTTTGTAGGTTTCAGGAGACGGTTGCGTATAACTTGTTCAATTCGTTTCTACGGCAGTACACAGAATTTGCTGGTTCACGTGAACACATCCTAATACGGATTAGTTGACGTTTTGGAAGATAGCCGTTAATTGGCTGTTAATTGGATATTTATATTGCTTTCAATTATCGATAGCATCCACACAAGCCCTCAATGGGTGCCAAGAAATTCTAGAATAAATTTTTAAACTAACACATATGTCGTTTCCTTGTCAATGCGGATATATGTGCAATTCCTTTCACTCTCTTAGCTTTGTGTACGTTAAACGAAACAATGGAAAATTCAGTTCACGTGATCGCTTCATAAAGTAAAAAAAATCGAAACAAAGCCAATAAACACTTTTTTATTAGCTTTAAATAGCAGAAAAACCATATGTTAAACTTGTCACGAGAAACGAATTAAAGCAAATATCTTTAGATATATAAAAGCAGACCTAAGCATACGTAACATACGGTCTTCATAACACAGAAGCTTGAATAAGCAAAACGCAAGCGACACGCAGTGTGAGAAAAAAGAAAACTTACCGCGATCGGCAGCTTTCATCAATTGCATTAGAAATGCCTTCCTGTATGGTGGGCAGGTCGGAGGTGAAGCGATTAGTGGGACGCAAAACCCGTAGAGTACGGCTGGAAAGCTTCCAGACTAAACGTTGCTTATATGGCTGCTTGTTTTGACCATTGTAATGAGATAGAATGCCCGAGACAATACTAAAACCACATGTGAAAACACGATCTGGGATCTGAAATTTTATAATTACACTTATGCGGATAAAATATACGAAGCAAAACATAGATAAAGTGTTTGCAAAAATTGTGATCACTTTTTCACTTGAAAGAGGCAGTTATTGTGGAAAATTGGTACATTGGTATTAATCAAAATAGGGTCCATCATTTTCTACAATATTTTATAATATTTTTGACAACATGGCGAAATCATGTCGAAAGAATTTACATTGGTTTCACAGCGATCCACCCATCAATCCATTTCCGCACTTTTTTCAATTTTGCGCACGCGCGTGCCAGTCGAGTCATGCTGCATCAATCTAAACATGCGGTAAACAGGAGGCGCCACGTATGGGGAGTACGCTAGGTATATGGGTGAAGCAGAACTTCCCATTCGACTTGCAGCCTGGACAACTCTTGTAACAAGTGGCCAAAAAATGGCATTTTCGGTCAATTCGTGTCCTCACTCTTAAACCGTTGAAACCAAAATCGACAATTGGGATATGGTGGAGCAACGTCAACATAAGTTTTTGGACATGTTCGATGGACTTCGGCAGCAGACCTCTTCAAATAAACAAGAAAAGTAATGAAGGCGGAAGAAGAAGAATTTTGACGTCTTCAAGATTAGCGTTGGCGTACGCTGAATAAATCGACAATATTGAATGGAAAACTGTTAGTTTTATAGAGGAAAGTCGAAACTATCAAATTCAACTGTTATGTACACTGGTATTTCCCATTTTTTTTATAATTTTTACCTATAGAAGTCGGTGATCAAAGTTTTTACAAACACCTAATAAATATATATAGTTTTTCTTTTTGTCGCAACGACAAACTTAACTTACACCCATGTACTGTTGCAGAAACAGTATGTAGTCAAAGACATGCTTTAGTTCGGGACTGCCGCGAGTATATGACTCTTTAATGTGAAAATCCAAATGAAGGCAAATTAATACTAAAGCCAATGTGGACGGTGTTATGACTGTGGTCTTAACATCACACAATAGTATCTCTAAACGATTTTCCAATTCCTCGAGTTTTATTAGCTGTTGATAGAACTCGTAGAACTGACCGCCAATTTCTTTAGCTAAATGATGGAAGAGAGCGTAATAAATGCGCAAATAGCTGACCGAAGTAATAGGTACATGACCCATTTGTACTCCCAATTTGCTAGCAATTACACCGGCCATGCGTTCCAAATCGCCAGCGGTACAACCACACTAAATAACAGAATATGGATCAACAACAAATAACGTAAGCGAATAAGATTTTTAAATGAAAATTTCACTCACTTGAGATATTGTAACCAAATCTTCGGCGGGTATTAGCTTCAGGTTTAATTGTTTAATGGCCAAATGGAAACTGGCTACACTCATGCAAGCCATATGCTTAGGCTTAACAGCCATACGATCCAAGAAACGATCAACTAAACTCATGGCCGAAAACAGAACGTCGGAGGGTAACTCATACCAGATTTTAAGGCAACGTAAAACATAAGCCGATCCATCTCGACCACCGGCCGTAACTTCACGCTATAACCATTAAAAAAAGATTTATTTAATTTTAAACATTTGTGAAATGAAAGATAATTTAAATTATTTTTCCCCGAATTTTACCTTTGATTCCTTGGGCAGCAATAAAACTGTATGATATTTATCCTGTAGAGCATCATATTCCTTGAGCGTATTGTAAAGTTCCTCGGTTGACATTTTTAGAAGTTCATCTTCCACATTCCCGTTATTGTTATTATTATTGTTGCTGTTGTTGTTGTTGGTGTTGTTGTTGTTAGTATTATTATTGTTGTTATTATTATTATTATTTGAATTTTCTTTTTCATTGTCCGTTAACGAAGGCTCCATGGCTTGGTCCATATGATTGTTGTTAGGGATTTTTTGTTGCTCCTGTTCCAGTTTATACTTCTGATAGTCCAAACCAGCAGCACCCGGTATTCCATTCCGGCCCTCGTCAGACATCTTTATCCACTCAGCTTGCATCTCTTGTGTTGTATGGCTGCCGCCATTAACCTCAATAATTGTAGAATCTATTGTTGCTGCCGCTATAGCTGCAGCGACGGTGTCGTTTGTCTGCGATTCTTGTTGTTGCATCATTTGAGCATTCAATAACATTTCACGAGCTTTGGCCGAAGTTGTTGCCTGCTCTTGATCCATTGCATTGATTTGCAGACGGGCAGGTATTGAGATATCCACTTCTATTAGGTTTTCCGGCTTAACCGACAACGCCATCGATGACCTCTGCTGCATCAACTGCTGCTGCTCCTCCAAAACGCTGCTAAAATTGCAATTCCGACTGATCTGGCTACGATGGTTATACAAATCGCTGCTATATACTTGCTCTTGCGGAATGCAATGATATTGTGGCTGGTATTGCTCTTCCTCTCGGCCGTTAAGCGTATTTGAAAAACCACTATCAGCGGCGGCGTAATTGGTGGCAGCAGAGTAGCGTACAGGGACAGACATTGTGAGGGCTGGCCTAGTACCTATCGTTATATATATGATATATATAGATATAGATATATATATATATATATATGTATATATATATATATTTGATATATATGTATATGTGTGTATGTATGTATGTTCCGAAAATTCGAAAATACCTTTCGAAACTTTAGGAATTTTCGATACAAGTTTTCTAGGCCGTTTAGTTTCAATTATTTCGTACGTTCGCCCAGTGTAAAAGCTCAGTGTTGTGTTTATCGATTTTATTTACGTGAGACAGGGAAAACTTTTGCTTTGGCTTAAAAATTTCCTTTCTCAGCTCAATATCAATCAATTAATTGGAATTACTACAAATCTCCTTTCTCTTCGCTATGCGATCGATGACGATGATGATATCTTATATATACTTTAAAATTTGTTACCTTTGAATTGTTTGCTACTTGTTTTGTACACACCGGTTGATGAGACGACAAATTCTTTGAACAAAGTTTCCGAATATTGTCTATGAATATATTATATATTAAATAAAAAAAAATTCTCAACAACCTTAGTACAATTCTTTTTCTGTTTTGATAAGTTTGACGCGACGCCTGGTATCTGGTGTCGGCTGCCTTAACAGAAAATAACAATTTGCAAACAATAAAACAACGCAAATGCAATTAACTTTATATGCCAGCGGAGACCCTTCTTCTCAGTTCCCGTCAGTTAATGGCTTCTTTTTTGAAAAAAAAAGCACAAATTATGGTTTATTATGTGAGCCCTCTCAGCTATTTACGATAATAAACACTTGCGCTTTTTATCTTTCGACTAATGTCTGTGTACCTGCGTGCAATAAACTGTTTTAAATTTACTCTTATCGATTGCCTTTGTAATACCTAATCTGTGAAAGTTGAAAAATTTTCAAAAATTAATATTTAAAATATATTATAATGAATACATAAAAATCCATAATATATATTAGTTTGGGGAAAAAGAAATCCATTATTTTTATATGAACTTCAGGACTTTATTTAACTTGCTTGGGATTGTCCGATTTGGGTCAAATATGCACCGTTTTGTTGTACGATTTGTTGCCATTTTAAAGGTAACTTCAAAATGCCCCTCTCATAGAAGTCCTGGTCTCTATTTGCAAAAAACTCTAGTAGTCGATTTTCACAATCCTCCCTAGATTCCAATTTTTTATCATTAAAGAAATTTTGCAATGCAAGAAAAAGATGATAATCGCTTGGTGCCAAGTCCGGACTGTATGGCGGATGCATTAAAACCTCCCAACCAAGCTCCCGAAGTTTCTGGCGAGTCACTGTAGATGTGTGTGGCCTAGCGTTGTCCTGGTGGAACACGACACCTCTCCTGTTGGCCAATTCTGGCCGTTTCTGGTCAATCGCTATCTTCAAACGGTCCAGTTGTTGACAGTAGAGATCAGATTTTACCGTTTGGCCGTATGGAAGCAACTCATAATAAATAATCCCCTTCCAGTCCCACCAAATGCATAGCAAAACCTTCCTGGCCGTTTGAGGTGCTTCACCGCTCTTTGACCACGATCGTTTTCGCACAGGGTTATCGTATGTGATCCATTTCTCATCTCCAGTCACCATCCGTTTAAGAAATGGGTCTATCTCATTCCGTTTGGCCAAGACTTCGCAGATGGAAATTCGATCCATCATGTTTTTTTCTGTTAATTGGTGTGGCACCCATCCAGCTTTGTGTAAATGGTTTAAAACTGTTTTATGGACGATTTTTAGCTCCTGGGCGATGTTACGACTGCTAACATGCCGGTCAACTTCGATCATTTCTCCGATTTTATCGACATTTTCGACGACCGGCCTGCTTGTGCGAGGTGCATCTTTAACACCAAAAATTCCTGAACGGAATCTACGAAACCAAAATTGCACATCGCTGTCACAGTATCGGAACCATAAACACCATCCACAATTTTAGCCGCCTGGCTTGCATTTTCGCCTTTCTCAAAGAAAAACTGTAAAATGTACCGAATTTTCTCTTTGTTCACTTCCATTTTTAACACGCTGTAACTCACAACTGAATGCACCAAACAAAAAACAGCAAAAGAATTTTTTTTACTGCGAAATGTCACCTTTCCATAAATCTGAAATTGTTTGATCTATACTTTACGAGAAATCTATCAGTGCAGCTATCTACCGAAAAAATAATGGATTTTTTTTTCCCCAAACTAATATATATATATATATATATATATATAAATAAATGGGTAAAAATTTGTGACCTACGTAATATTGCAAATGGTATTCTAAATATTAATATTGCATTTTAAAAATTAATTAATACCTCCGTTATGTGGGAGCAGAGTTTGATACCCACAAGAATTTCCAATATATATATATATATATGCGCTTACACGCACACCGGGACCTATCTGTGTACATATATTTATATATATGTATATATATCTACATATATATATATATATACCTTGGTATCCCATACCATATTATTGGTCCGAGCCAATCATAGGTAAGGCGGCGTGTATAGGCATTAAATCAGCCCGTGCGGTAAATAAGTTCCGTCCGTCCCCTAATCACCATTAGGGTTTTTGGACGTATATTCCAAGTAGTGTATACGTCTTGTGAAGTTTTTTTGGGGTAAAGATGATGGTTATGGGATACATATTAATATTTTATATATATCTATACACACATATATATGCTTGCATGCATGTATACATTCTACATACACATATGAATATGTATGCGTACATATATACATCAATGTACGCGTACATAAATATATATTTACATGTGTAACACTATGATGGACAGAAAGATGTGGAGCAAAGGATAGGAAGCGCGCACAGCCTACGTGATGTATGCCTATAATCGGTTGGTGTTTTGCTTTCGCCAACTAAGCACTCACTATAGCTACCACCAAGTGCTCTCTATTGCACTGATATTTGAACCCACTATATATTTACTTAGTAATTGCGATTGAGTTAAAGCATTTTAATCAGGCAAATTCAACCATTTTACTCAATACAATACCACACTTGTTCTAATCATGTACTTCGTTACTTTGTAAAGTTATTCAGTTTTCATATGAACCCCTTGAAGCCATGGAACGACCTGGCGAAAATATGGTAAAATAGATTTTCTTGCTCTACATGGAATACATCTTATTGTGACATAAAACTGCACTTTCAGAAGAACTCTCATAGGAGAAAAGGAAAACTATACCTGCTCGTTCGAAACTGAGAATATATATATATATACCCAGTCCCTACTCTGGACTTACCTTCATTATAAAACACTAACAACCAGGCTTTGTTCTCGTATGAAGACCCATACCGCCTGAGTAGAGAAGACCGTAAGAGCTGCGACTGCCAAGCTATTGTTCGCGGGTTCAAAACTCAACTTTCTTTTGTCGTGACTATAACGAGTGCTCAGCCAGCAAAGGCATAATACTTATCGATTGAGCACAAGCCCACTAAGCAGCGGTCATCAGCTTCTTGTTTCTTTTTTTTTCCTCTCTTCTTTCTGACAGTCACCATGTTATAAGCATAATGGACATGCCCTAAGCGGTTCGTTGTAATAAGACACTTCGGGACACTTTTTAAAGGAAAGAGGGACATACTATTAAAAGTTGCAAATTGCAACCTATAAGTTGAACACAATAATAATTCGCCAGAGATTAAAGGAACAGATTGACAGACATTCTTAAATCGGGGCTCAAAGTATGAGTAAAACATCCGATTCAAACGTTTTATATCAGTGTAATATCGTGAAAAGCTTATCACTTAACGATTTTTATCGAGATATTATGGAAATTGCGATTTTATTATTTAAGGCGTTGTATGCAGAGAGATCGTAAAAATAGTCCGCTCAAATTAATTTTCAGCGGAGTTCATGCCTGGGCCAACACATGTCAGCATAGCAAATTTCTCTAAAGAGAGATGTCGGCGGTGTATTTAAATATATTCAGTAAATAATTTCCAATCGATCGGTATAATATAAGGTGAGCCTATCTCAAGCCCTTCTAGATATTGCAAGCAGTCACACAAACTATGTGCTCTTGCTATTAGTAGCGCAGGGTATAACTGCAAAGCGTTTTGTTCGTTGTCAGACATGTCAGAATTTTCTAACATCTGCAACTTGGAAAGGAGTCTGTGTAATATTAACCAGGGCCCTCTAACATCTATGCCTAGCTAGAGCCGACATTACATTATGTTATTGAAACTTATAAAATGTGTTTTTTCCTTCATTTCCAAATTTTTGCAAATTTGCTTATCGCAAGATAGTACACAGTTGCGCAAACGAACAAATGCACAGACGCACAAACGGATATAATCAGTTACATTCCAAATTTGAAACTGGCCAAAAAATGTATATACTTTATGGGGCTTTTAAAACTTGTTTCTGCGCCTTGTAAAGTTATTGAAAAAAAATTAAAGTTTGATACACTATGTGGTAGGCGTGGTTAAATTTTTCCATTTTTGCACAACTGCTACACCATCGCCCATAGAATCCAAATTTTTGTACATATGCTATAGTTTATAAGTAGAGCAAAAAACCGCTCCATTTGAAAAACACTTTCTCAATTTATACGGTGCTGTGGGCGTATCCTTCGATCGAGTTGACCCATTTTCAATACTAACCATTATACTGCAAGAACTTCCAATGTTTCTACCAAATTTGAAGTCGATAGCTTAATTTTTGTGATCAGGGGAATACTGTTTACAAGAGACATTACGCAGACTGACGGATGGACATGCTTAAATCAATTCAGTATTTGATGGCAATCGAATTATATATACTTTGTGGGGTCCCCGATGTTTCGGCAAAATGAGTACACTTCCCATCCTCCGATGATGGGTTTGCAAAAAGAAAACTGCGAGTGCAAAGATTACACTTTAATGGCTATGACGAGTGCATGTGTGGATTGATTAGAGACCATTTTGCCTACGAGCTTTTCGGTAACCAATTTAAAGTTTTGCAACAAATTTTAGGTCAACGTCTTTTATAAATTCTAAACTACATTTTTCTTGACTATTATCAGCGCATAATAC